CACTGTATATATATATATATATATATTAATTCATATTAATTTATAATTTATTTTTTATTTATCATATATTACATATATATATACAGATATGTTTAATTTATGCAATTTCTATTATTCATATTTAAAAATATTTTTTATATGATTATGAAACTACAATTTAAATTCAACATGAAGTGTCATTAAAAAAACGTTTTTCAAAAAAAACAAAATTTACTTTTTGTGTGAAACAGGGTATTTCAACTTGTGTTGTCACGATACCAACTTTTTGACTTCGATACGATACCTGACTAAAATATCCCAATACTTCTACTGAACCGATACCATGACAAAAACAAAACAACAGGAAAAGTAATTAAATAACAGATGACCCACATGGAACTTATAGTTCATTATTTTATCTATTAATTAAAAAAAAAAAACTCTTTGACCAGTGTGTGCCTACCCTGCTTTTTGAGCATTTTGTTTATTTTATTTCAAGTAACAGAATAAATTTTATGATAGGTTTAGTTAACTATAAAAACCCTGGTAAAAAAGTAAACGGGGTCAATTTTGATCGGTAACTAACTCTAACTTTTAATCAATAACTCTAACCTAAGTCTAATATTTGAGGTGTAGTTCCTATCAAAACCACGCTCATGTGCATGTTGAATCACTTACACAGTGTTCATGTTGTGGTTTGTTTTCAGGTGGATCACGTGGACAAGAGCGGCCAGTGTGCGCTGGTGCATGCGGCCCTGCGGGGTCATTCAGAGGTCATCGAGTGTCTGCTGGAGCTGAGCTGGAGCAGTGAGGGTCAACAGGACCTGAGCCTGAAGAACAAAGCCCTGCAGCAGGGGCTCATCGCGGCCTGCAGTATGGGACACATTCATGTGAGCTCTCACACACACACACACACAGACACACACACATACACATACACACACACACACACAGACACACACACATACACATACACACACACACACACAGACACACACACATACACATACACACACACACACACAGACACACACACATACACATACACACACACACACACAGACACACACACATACACATACACACACACACACACAGACACACACACATACACATACACACACACACACACAGACACACACACATACACATACACACACACACACACAGACACACACACATACACATACACACACACACACACATTTACAGGGGCATTTTTAACTTTTATGAGGGCAAATTGTTTTTCTAACCACCTAAAAACATGTAGTGTGTCACCAATTTGTGTCAAATGATTCAGTTGAGTTATTTAATTAATGATTAATACTCTGAAAATTGCATCTGGTACTTATAAAATCAAATCAGCATCACATACAAATGCAGGTGTAAATAATGCACAATAAATAATCTGTTAGAATACAGTTCATTACGAATATACAGCTCGATACTGTCAACCATAGCAGCAGATTTTGATTTATTCAGTTGTGGATGTTTTCTTGACATTCAGTGTTTTCAGAGCTGATTTTTTAGGATTTGTTTTTCCACTTTAACTGTCTGACAGTAGCATGTGCGAAAACAACCACACTAAACCCATATAAACCTAAACATCATAAAATTATATATAGTTTATACTATATATAAACTAAAACCTAATATTTTACAAAATATGTCAAATGTTGGATTTTTTTTAAACCCATAGGAATTTATTACAATATCTGAGACATTTCCATCGCCATCGATGTCATTTGTGACCCTGGACCACAAAACCAGTCATAAGGGTAAATTTTTTAAAATTGAGATTTATACATCATCTGAAAGCTGAATAAATAAGATTTCCATTGATGTATGGTTTGTTAGGATAGGACAATATTTGGCCGAGATACAACTATTTGAAAATCTGGAATCTGAGGGTGCAAAAAAATCTAAATATTGAGAAAATCGCCTTTAAAGTTGTCCAAATGAAGTCCTTAGCAACACATATTACTAATGATAATACATTTTTGATATATTTACTGTAGCAAATTTACAAAATATCTTTATGGAACATGATCTTTACTTAATATCCTAATGATTTTTGGCATAAAATAAAAATCGATAATTTTGACCCATACAATGTATTGTTGGTCCAGTGCATTTGTGGTCCAGGGTCACATTCCAAGTCTTGGTTATTTTCTGACCCTAGTGCATCCACATACACAAGCTCACATATTTGTACACATAAAAGGAGTTTAAGTGGATGTATGTGCAGTGAACTCGAGACCCAGGCCCTGAAGTATAATGAATCTTTTAGATGTTGTGAGGATGCGGTTGCCATGGGAGATCAGCCATAGCAACACGCTGGTCTCTTAGGTCAAGCTGTTTGAGCCTATAAAGAAACGAAGGGAAGAAGCTCTTGTGCGTTTGATTTAGCGTTGGGATTCTTCCAGCATCAGCGCTTCAATCGGAACTTATTCGACCCAGATAGTTTTCTTTGTTGCTGTCGAGAATTATTGCAAATCTTGCCAGTAGTGGGTGAAATGAGAAAATGAAGCAGCCATGAAACTGTTATTTTATTAACTATATTTCTTTGTCCTTATGACACTATTTCAGTTTTTTCCTTGCATTTTTCCTTGTACCCAGCGTGAATGTTTTTAATTTTTATCACTTCATTGACGGCAGTGTTATTTTAGTACAATTGATATACTATTATAGTTTTTGTTAATATTTTTAATAACTGTAAATTTTATTTGATATTTTCTGTTTTCTCTATAATTTTAGTTTAATTTTAATTTTGTTGTTTTATTAGTGTTTTTACAATTTTAAGTTTATTTTATTTTATATTTTCAGTTTTCTCTATAATTTGTTTAATTTTAATTTTGATGTTTTTAATAGTGTTTTTATTATTTAAAAAGTTTATTTTATTTTCTGTTTTCTCTATAATTTTAGTTTAATTTTAATTTTGTTGTTTTTATTAGTGTTTTTATAATTTTAAGTTTATTTAATTTTATATTTTCAGTTTTCTCTATAATTTGTTTATTTTTAATTTTGTTGTTTTCATTAGTGTTTTTATCATTTTAAAAGTTTATTTTATTTTATATTTTCAGTTTTCTCTATAATTTGTTTAATTTTAATTTTGTTGTTTTTATTAGTGCTTTTATAATTTGAAAAGTTTATTTTATTTTATATTTTCTGTTTTCTCTATAATTTTTGTTTAATTTTTATTTTGTTGTTTTTATTAGTGCTTTTATAATTTGAAAAGTTTATTTTATTTTATATTTTCTGTTTTCTCTATAATTTTTGTTTAATTTTTATTTTGTTGTTTTTATTAGTGCTTTTATAATTTGAAAAGTTTATTTTATTTTATATTTTCTGTTTTCTCTATAATTTTTGTTTAATTTTTATTTTGTTGTTTTTATTAGTGTTTTTATCATTTTAAAAGTTTGTATTAACATTTATTTATTTTAGTACAAAAATGAGAAATGTTTCTGAAATAAAATAAGGTTAAAGTTTTATTTATTTATTATTATTTCAGCTAAAGATTGTATTTCAAGTAACAAAAATGTTTTGCATGGTTTTAGTTTTAGTTAAATATAATAACTCTGAACGACCGTCAGACTGTCATTCTTAAAATCCATTTTAATCATGTACCATGTTGTAGTTCCTCATTAAATTCCCTGCCACTGGAGAGTAACTTCACCAAAGCCAATTTTTCCCCACATGTGGCGTTTAATGACCCTGGTTTCAGCCCGTATCTGCTTCTTCATTTGCTGTTCTGTTCTAATACTGCGTTTGATTGATGTGAGCTGGTGTTTTGGCAGGTGCTGGAAGGCTTGTTGACGTTGAGTAATGAACTGGCGGTGCAGATTGATGCCCACGACACACTGTGGGGCGAAACAGGTACGTTCAGTTCTTCTTCATGTTTTTATCTCTCGTCTCTCTCACAGTGTCATTATTTCTGTTCCATTAGGAGTCAGAATTGCAGTCGGTGGGAAGCTTGTAGTGAATTGTGGGTGTCTGTAGATACATACATCATCAGTAACGAGCCATGCACTGCAAAAAATGGCTTATCTTACTTAGTATTTTTGTCTTGTTTCTAGTCAAAATATCAAAAAATTCTTAAATCTAGATACTTTTACTAGATAAGCCAAATGACTTAAGATATTTAGTCTTGTTTCCAGGGGAAAAAACTAAATTAAGCGCATTTTGCTTAAAACAAGTAAAATGATCTGCCAGTGGGGTAAGTAAAATACTCTTGTTTTAAGAATATTTTACTTACCCCACTGGCAGATAATTTTACTTGTTTTAACTCATGAAAAATTTTTTGGCCACTTTAAAGAAGCTTTGTGCAATGGAAAATCTCTATGGAAGTTCTTCAAGGAACCATAATGGCAGCAAAAAAACAACAACATGTATTTATTTGATTATTTATTTACTTTATATAAGAGTGAAGAGTGATACATCTAACACTGGCCTCTCTAGTGCTAAATCGTTAGTGATTTATATACTCTCTTTAGGTTAAGTAAAGTAAATCACTAATAATCCAGCATTGTGAGCGGACGTCTCAGGGCCGATATTGTCGGAAAAGCTGTTATTGTCATCTCAGGTGCTGTTCGAAGGGGTTTGTGACAGACTAGCGCTGTGATGATGAGTGACTCAGCTGCGTGTGCAGTCTGATGCTGCTCTACATTATGATTATTCGAGTTTAAGGTTTGCTGTAGTTTGTGAGTTTGAGATGTGGCTGCAGTCACGAGTCCATTAAGGTCAGACGTGGGCATTCATCTCAATTAATTACACATCTCTGCATCCGGTGTGACCTTCAGTGGCTTTATGTGCCGCTGTAAAGGAAGAGAAACCGCTGTATTGTATCTATTGTGAGATAGAGGGAGAAATGAAGTCAATTATCCAGAAGAGACTGTGAAAAATCCTAGATTGAATCTTCGAAACAAACCGTGTGCATCTCAGCGGTTTAAGGAACGCAAAAGATAAATACAAGACCTTGAGCTAATAAGTGCATCGTCACTTTAATGACTTTTTATGATGAATGTTTGATAATTTAATTGGTACTTATTGTACATTTACTGTATGGTGAAGCTTGCATTTCATTCATGGTACACATACTGTACGTGGGTGGGCGTGTGTTTAAATGCATTCATCTTTCTGAAGCTGTAGTAGTTTAGTTTCAATAAGAGCTCTGTGTTCACTGAAGAGGAAGTTTTGAGTTACAGTATGAGATAGAAAGCTTCAGTATATGACATGAGGCCACACAGATGCATCATTTATGTGTGTTTGTGGTGTGTGTGCATTGAGGAAGCCAGCAGAAAGTTGAACCCGAACCGATATTCAACAGATAAGAGTTTTAAAGCAACACAGGCCTTTCTCCAGGCAGCTGTTTACCTCAGAAAACCTGAAACGAGACACCTTCTCACTGAACATGGGTTTTCCTTTGGCTCTATACTTTATTTTTGAAATTGATTTTATAATAATGAATAAATCCTTTCATTAATTCAATATGGATTTCAAGGCCTGGAAAAATCATGAAAATGTATTTAAATCTTTTAGTATCTAAATATAAACATACATATTTTATTAACTGCAGATTGTTCTTTGACAGTGTAATCTTTGTAAAATTATTATAAGTCTAGTAATCATCAATGACTGAAAAAAATGAAAATACAGTAGGAACCCTGAATTTGAACCTTGTGCATGAAACAATATGAATTCATTTCTTTAAAATCATTCCCCATAAAGAGAAATACGGGCTAGGTTCAGGTGCTGCCTGTTTTTTAGAAGCGGTCCTTCAGCACCAGAAGAGCAGAGATGTTCATTTCTTCTGAGTACTCTTGAGTTCTTTAATCTTCAGACCAGGATCAAACCTCTCTGGTCCTGGACCAAGCAGAGCTCAGATGGTCATTTCCTTTATCAGACCTCCAAACACATCTTTCTCAAGCGCTCTGGATTCAGCAGATCCATTATAAAAGGCTTTGGGGAAAACTTGTGGGTTTTCTCCTGTTCAGATGTGTATTTCCCTGAGTAAACTTTGTCAGTGTGCTGGCTTTTGTTTTTGTGTTATTGATTATCAAGCCCATAATTGTGTTTCTTCATTGTTGAAATTGCAGTCCTGCTAAACGCTTTTTAGTGAAAATGTTATGATGCACTGAAATGAAATTCAGTGTGGCTGAATTTTATTCCTCTGATTGCAGAGTGTCTAATTAATTACTATGTGTTGTCATCAGATAAAGTTGTAATGTTTCTAATGTTGCTTGGATGGATGGATGGATAGATAGATAGTCAAACAGACGATAGATAGATAGATAGATAGATAGATAGACGGACGGACGGACAGATAGACGGATGGATAGTTAGATGGATGGATAGACGGAATGATGGATAGTTAGATGGATGGATGAATAGATGGACGGACGGATGGATGGATAGATGGATGATGGATGGATTGATGGACAGACGGACGGATGGATGGATGGATAGATGGATATATGGATGGATGGATGATGGATAGATGGATATAGATTTCCTGTTTCTCGGCACAATGAACTCTATGTCAGAAGATCAGAGAGATCTGTATTCCTATGATTTGAGCTCTTTGATTTGTGTCAGATTTTTTGTGTGGATCCAGACCGCAAATTCACAGTGTTTATAGATGCATTGTGGGGGATCGTGTGGTTCTGCTCAGGTTAGCAGTCGCCGTCCATGTTGAAGTGGTTTGGTGATTGTCACTTCTCTTGTTCCTCTGAGCTCTCGCTGTCTGATGGATGAGCTGCACTGTCAGACAGACAGATAGATCTGTTAGCATTGACCTACACATGAATCTACAGCTAAGAGCCGCTGTGGAATATTAGATCTGCTCTGCAAAACATTAAAGGGGTCATATGACGTTGCTAAAAATAACATTATTTGGTGTATTTGGTGTAATGCAATGTGTTTATGCGGTTTAAGGTAAAAAAAAACACATACTGTACATTATTGTTGCTCCTCTATGCCCCGCCTTTCTGAAACGCGTAGATGTTTACAAAGCTCATCGTTCTGAAAAGCGAGGTGTGCTCTGATTGGCCAGCTATCCAGTGCGTTGTGATTGGCCGAAAACCTCAAGTGTGTGACGGAAATGTTACGCCCCTTACCATACTATGATGCTGTGTCCCGGCCGGAGCGACGAGACAAAAACATTAAAACCCATTATAAACAAGGTATTTGTTGCATCCAGTGGGGACATAATCACTGATTATAATTACCTATACTGTCTTTTTACGCTGTGTAGCGTATCGCGCTGCGTAAAGAAAGTTCTCAGTTGCTCTGAGTTGTTGAACATAGTGTCCAGTTTATCGACCACTTGCTCTCTTGACGTTATACCAACTACGCTACTAAAGGAAGTGTTGGACGCAGTTGCACCTAATATTATTTCCATTATCAACAATTCCTTACAGACAAGTTCAGTTCCATCCTGTTTTAAACATTCAGTGGTTCATCCGCTGCTAAAGACAGCAAATCTGGATCCTGCTGATTTTAACAACTATAGACCTATTTCAAAATTGCCATTCTTATCAAAAGTATTGGAGAAAGCTGTTTTAAATCAGTTATCACCTTACTTAATTGAAAATAATATATTGGATCCTTTTCAGTCTGATTTTAGATCTAAGCATAGCACTGAATCGGCCTTGTTAAGAGTGGTAAACGACTTGTTATTATTTGTGGATTCTGGAAATTGTGCAGTTTTGGTACTGTTGGATTTAAGTGCGGCGTTCGATACAGTAGAACTTTTAAACAGGTTAAAAACTGAGGTTGGTATTTGTGATTCGGCCTTAGATTGGTTTGAATCATATTTTCCTGCGAGGAGTTTCTCTGTGGAGATAGGTCAGTCTCATTCATCACCTGCCTCTGTTACTGGTGGGGTGCCGCAGGGCTCCATCTTGGGCCCGATTTTGTTTGCTTTATATATGCTCCCTCTTCGTTACATTTTTGAGTTTCACAAGGTCCCATATCACATTTATGCGGATGATACCCAGTTGTACATGTCAATTAAACCTGGGTCAAAGTCCTTATCTGACTTGCTTGCTTGTGTAAACGACATTAAAAGCTGGATGGGTGATAATTTTCTTCAGTTAAATGAAAACAAGACTGAAATCATTCTATTTGGCTCCCCCCATTTGGTTAACGGTATGTCCTCTAGTTTAGGATCCTTGCAAGCAAATATCCGTACTCATGTAAAGAATCTGGGTGTTG